GAAAACAATTCTGTGTCGACTAATTACAGCCTCGATACTTGGACTGTGCACCAGCAAATCAGATGTTGTAATGCCAGGCCAGAGGATGAGACAGAAACGTCAGCTGTTCCCGACGAGAGCCCATGAGAGATGGCCAGGGTCAGAGTCCGCGTAACCCCCCCTCACGTCCAAACAGGATGTGCTTCAAGAAGGATGAAGACTTCTGTAAACGCACACGCAGAACGTGTCAAAGGACTCCTTTTTCTTTGTGAGGTTGTATTCTCCGCGGATGTGTGGGAACCAAGGCTGCCGCGATGACAGCTAACGTGGCGATGGGCGCAGCGATGAAGTCACACCATTGTTCGCGTCGTTCAGTGGCATAAACGGTGGCGACCCTGCAGGGATGAGCTTCCTTCGATGTCTTTGATGCATGAAAGTGTGAAGAACAAACAGCTTCCTTGTCGGATACGAGGAGGAAAAAAAAAAGCAGCATCTGCAGAATGGCTTTAATGAGACAGCGTCCAATTTGGCATTTGGCAGGATTCGGTATAACATTCCGACCAACTGGGTATTTGTCTTTGACGATGTGGGCACAGCATGCACCACATACACTAATCTGCCTGATGAAGGGCTCTCTCCAAAAGTGAAAATATAATCCAAGCACTTCCAGTTTGTAGCAGAGTATAGATGGCCTTCACTTATTCAGACTGAAGCCCTCATCATCATGGGAGCGAAAGCACTGGCCCAGCAGCTGGAGGTGGCGGGGTGAGAAGTGGCTCAAGTGAAAGTATGATTGAAAACACAAATAAAAACTTATGTCGAAAGTTGCAGACTGGGTGAAACAAATGAGTCTCGTCGCTCTGTGGAATATGAACATTGATTAGGAACGGGCAAGTACAAATATCAGGCTGATACCTGCCTTAATTTAAGGTATCGGGTAGTTGTGGAGTCTGCCAAATCCAGCCATAAAAAACTAAGCCCTCCTTGGCAGTAAGTGACGCTGTATTGCAGTATTAGGCCACATCGGTGAATTACAAACAAACAAACAAACAAACGAAGGGAGACTGGGCGGAGCAAATATGTTTTGTATGAATGCCCACAACATTGTGGAGTGACAACTCATCTTTGAATAGGGTGTGTCTACATAATCTAATTTTTAATAATGTAGGGGGGACTTCAGAACGTGCAGCAGGACTCCACATTTTGTCTACATTCAGGTGCTGTTCTTTTGGTGAGCAAAAGTTAAAAAGGGCTGTGTGGTAAACTGTGTCATGCCCGTGTGTGAACAATCGTGTCTTTAGTCTGTCTATACTCAGAGACAAGGGTCACAGACATAGCCCTCGGGACTACATGAGTCACCGGCGGGCCTATTTTAAAAATACTGTTGCTCTCCAGTGATGTCACAATGTGATTTTTTAGGAATGTTGAAGCAGTGATGACATGGAAATGGGAACATCGGAGGAGATTTACCAAAATAAAGTGCCGCCTATGGATCTTTATCTGTTTCTTAATTATTGTGAGAAATACTATTGTGAGACGAAGAGTGTCTTCTCATACTATACTATATACTGTTAAGGTAATATGGGAAAATATGTTATTTCAGAAGTATATCCTATCAAACTGGTAGCTTTTCGCATGAATCAGTACCCAAGAATTAGGTCTCTGTTTCAAAAAGGTTAGTGACCCCAGCCCCCTGAGAGCTAAAAAGAAGTCCGCAGTTTCTGTTCGGGGTCCCGTACTCTGAAATTCTCAAACTTTAAAAATGTTTAAATCCCAACTGAAGAATTATTTCTATACTCTCACATTTGGTTAACTGTATGATTCAACGAGTCCCTCTCGCTGCCTCACATCTGGATTTTTGGTCTGTTTTACTGCCGCTTCTCCTCTTTAACTTCTAGACTGGGGGATGTCATTGATTTTGTGAATTGAGAATCCCTTGAGATTCTTTTGTGATTAAGGGCTACATAAATAAACCTGACTTGACGAGAGTTTCTTTTCCTGATGCTAAAGGAAGCCTGTCTATTTGAGGGGGGTGTTTGTCTTTGTGGATGACGCATGCAGTGGCCACTAATGAGGGCACACCGTCTACAAGGCGGGGCGTCCACTGTACTGTCTTTTTTATGACCCGTCTCCTCGTACCACCTTGACGAGCGGCAAGATTCACAACAACAGGTGCGTGGCGTCGTAACCTGGTCACAGGCCTTCTGCATTTGGCTAGCTAAAGACCGGGCAACACGAGACCCGTGACGAGCCCTGCGACCCGGGATACTAAAAGGCTGTGATTTATCGCTTCTGCCAGGGCTCGGCCGCGGCTGCGTGGAGAGCAGTCCACCAGGGTTAGAACGTTGATTATAAATCCATCGAGTGTGTCCACAAAGTGACACTGTGCAATTGCCTGTCTTAAGACTTTATTGCAGTCAAACCAAGAAGTGTTAGCCAGAAGAAGTATTAGCCAGAACTGTGCATTTTGTTCATATGACGATTTTACCACTAAATTAGCAATGCCGTGACAATGAGGAAGAACAGTACTAATGGGAGAATTGGGATTGTCTACAGTTATCGCCCAAAAACAAATACAAAAAAAAAACTACTATGATTGAAATCATCTTATCAAAATAAAAAATAAGGTTCGATACATAAGTCGAGAAAAAACGCACGCACGCACGCACGCACACACGCACACAGTATGGAGTAATGTGATCTGAGTGGCTGAACCTGAGGGTTATCGATGAATTTGAAATTGTCCCTAGGTGTGAGTGTGGCGTGGATGTTCGTCTCTGTGTGTCCTGCGATTGGCTGACAACCAGTTCAGGGTGTCCCCTGCCTAGTGCTCGAAGATGGCTGCAATAGGCTCCAGCGACCACGACCCTTGCGAGGACAAAGTGGATGGATGGATTTGTACATTTTGTTTATATGACGATTTTATACATATTTATATATGTGAATGTGCGATAATTTAGGGGTGGGGGACACCAATGCCCCTAAACATATGGTGCACCCGGCACACACTGTACATAGGCAGAATAATGCTTCAGCCACAAACAGTAACTGCACATAAAAGACACACACGCACGCACGCACGCACGCACGCACACGCACACACAAACACTTGGCCACCCCTTGTAGCCCCCCTCACGTCAGCTATCCTCCCATCAGAGGTAGCTGGAAGCGTGTGTTGGGGTGTGTGACTCGCCAACCAAATCACTTCACTTCAAAAGCTGTCACCGTAGACACCCCCCCTCCCCCTTCACCAAAAACGCTGCCACCTTTGCCTCCGCCCTTTTCACTGCACCCCCACAACGGCTGTCATCGCCCCGAACAAGATGTCGTGTCAAGGCGGGAAAATTACACAATAACGAGGCCCGCTTGAGATTAGGCTAATGAGAGAATCAAAACACAATTTAATTCTTGTCAGCGGCGAAGGCGTCTCTAAATTACCTTTGCTAGTCTCATGCTGATTAAGAGAAGTGTGCCAGTCAATCAGAAAGCCGGCCTCTATAAACGGCCCCAGGGCTTTTTGGACCACGCGCACGCACACGCACACACACACACACACATACACATACACACACACACACACACACACACACACACACACACACACACACACACACACACACACACACACACGTTCTATACGAATATATACACATTTATACACACTGTGCTCAGCGTCTGTGTCGACACCATTAAGAGCAAGCTAACAGTTTGGCCCCTGCTGGAAAGTTGACCTCGCAACTCTGAAAATTTTAAAAATATATTTAGCTTTTCTTGTTCCTTTCATGAAAGTACAATACAAAATGACGTCATTCAATTCCATATTAATGTTTGAATGGTTTTTAATGATTGGAAAGAAGCAGTATGAAGAACATTCTTCTTATTTATGTCAAAAATACAAAGCTTTAACCACTCTTAAGGACAGTTAAAATTAATTGGATCAATCTTCCACGTTACTTCCACGAGCATTTCACCAACACGGCGTCCGTGCTTGGCTCCTCAACCTGATGTCGCCATGGTAATTAACTGACAAATGAACACTACAGCATGTCGCGATATGGCCGACTCGCTATTCCCAAACAACCTGCCAACATATGGCACTGAATGTTACATTTCCCCAATCGCCCCTGAGAGGAAAAGAAGGAGGCTGGAAAACAGGGTTCGGGTTGCCTGGCGACAGATTACTGCTGCATCTTGGGCTCGCCGTCAATTGATTCTGCCAACATTGTGGGTTATCTGGGTCTGTGGTGCTCTCAGCTGCTCACAAATGAGGACAAGAGAGGAATCTTAATCAATTATGCCCCTTTTTGTCATTTGCTCAAGGACATGTCAGTGGCGTCAGGCAGCAGCTGGCTGCTATGCGCTCCTAGAAAGCGAGTTAATATCTTTTGCACCCTCGTGTTGGAGGATAACATGAGCAGTATGGACAAACATACTAATCGATAAATTTGGTTGATAGCGTGCAACTGATTGCTCATTAGCTGCATTAGAGAACAAATTGACTGCAAGCAGCAGTGATGCTCCTGTGTTATCCTGTATCATTGTTCTCCTTTTCCCAGTTAAATGTTAAACAGAAGATTTGTTGATTTGGCTGTTGATATTGAGGAACTCACCCAACAACAAAATGTTCATATGTACAGTATTACCACACTACCAGTGCTACTATTTCATTAAAATATTTTCCAAAAATCAGTCAATTTGTTCAGCCCCATTATTTATGTCTTTATGAGGCCCGTCAGTCATCTTATGTCAGTCATTTAAAATCAATGCGCTTTGTTATGTAGTCACAAAACAACCAACTTTAAAGAAACTAGGAATAGTAAAAAAAACATGAAATCAGTATGTTTCAAGCATCATTGCCAATTTTTTATGTAATTCTTGGCAATATTCAACGTTTAAATATGGTGCCATTATAATGGGTTCAAATACTTACCATATTGGCACACAACATCATCTTAGAGAAGTACCCCTACACAAAAAGCAAAACTACGATATAGCACTTTATAAAAACGCATTCAACTCACCAAATATGTACATTACTGGGAGTTAATGTCCATCCTCGAGGTTCTTCTCTTGGACTATTCAAAGTGACAAGTAGTCATTTTTCTAAGTGTTAGTTCTAACAAAAATAATTTTCTGATGCCATGGATACTATCATAGACAATCCACTTGGTCTTGATGTAATTCTGTTTTCTTGTTAAGAACAACAACTTTTCTTTTTTTACAGTCATTGTGGGTTAAAAAATAAAACAACAGCTCTATGTTTTTTTTTTTTTTTTTTTTTTAATGTTGCAAGTTTTGAATGTTTTAAAGCAGGGGTGTCAAACTCAGGTCCTGGAGGGCCGCTGTCCTGCATGTTTTCCAAGTCTCCCTGTTGCAACACACCTGATTGAAATGATCAGATCATCAGCAAGCTCTGCGGAAGCATGACATTGAACCTGTTCATTTGAATCAGGTGTGTTGCAACAGGGAGACTTGGAAAACATGCAGGACAGCGGCCCTCAAGGACCTGAGTTTGACACCTATGTTTTCAAGCATTGTACTGCATTTTGAGTTGCATTTTTATGTCTGAAAAGTGCCAAATAAATAAAGTTTAATTGATTGATTGATTGATTTTTGATAAACAAAGGTTAGCTTGCTCTGCTAGCTACAGATGTTGCTAGCTAGCTTTGACTACTAGTACCTACTCTCAGGATTCGGCCAAAGAATGTGAACATGTTGATTTTGTGGTACAGCTTTGACATGTTTCCCTGGAATGACTACATTTTATTGGTTAAAAAGTTGGCGAGTTAAATCGGCATTTATTTTCAAATAGGCTCGGCCTGTGCTGCTGAAAATTGTCCAGGCAGAGTTCTTCTTACCTGGCAACACTAAGGAGCTGAAACCCAATTGGCTGATAAATTCGCACTTAAATAGACTCTCCAGACAGTGTTGAATGTACAGTATTGTGTCATCGCTTGTCTTTCCTTTTTAATTGTTGAGTTGACATTTTTAAGAATAGAAATCAATCACACACTTTAATGTTTAACAGTATTCCAGGCGTTTCTGCACACGCGTAGCCCAATTAGAGTGTTCTCTGATTTCAAAAGGTACCTCACACAAGGTTCATGATGATGTATTTATCCCAAAGCATCTCAAGTCTGACAAGATCTGTGTTTTTAATGTATCTTTCAACCTAGGTTGCCTTTTTAACTGCAAAGTGGATGCATAAGGTAACATTTTAGGTTAGAATTAACTCGATAACTATGATAGCCACACATTTTAAAATATTTTTTTAGGTGTTTCTGCACTTATGTAGCCTATTCAGGATGTTCTTGGCAAATAGTACTTCAAACTAGGCCAATGAAATGAGTAATTTCCTCTGCAGATCAAAGCGGGCGTCCATGTGAAGAGAAACCACCAACATCCTCTCACTTCCTTCCACCTCGCACTGGTTCACTGATTGCCGCACGGAGCAGTAGAGCAGCTAACGCTATTTTCACCTCCTCTTTTTGTGCTCCGCCGCTCGCGCATCCGCGATTCTCCCGTAGCCATATGGTGACCCCGGGGAGTTATCCCCATTTTTCAGATAACTTCTCGAGCGGGAGGACACAAACGTGCGGGAATGACCGATCCTGGCCTCCAATTACTGTTGCGCATTCAAGAATGTGCAGGCGTAATAACTGATTGTTTGAAAGTAAAGTCCACAGGGGAACCGCAAAAGTCGAGTGGCGTTGAGATGTCGTCGAATTCGAAGTGTGACAATCGATTTATCTGGGATCATAAATTTACACAAAATCTCAAAGCTCGGACGTAAAAGGCCGGCATTCACATGCGAGTGGCCACTGGATAACTAGATTACAGTCAAGTACTTTATAAATTTGACGTTTGACTCTTTAACTATCATCGTTGTACACGTGTGTGACAATTACAAATGTTAAAATTTTTGGTGCGTCTGTGATTCACAACAAATGTGTTCTTAAAAGTGATGTCGGTAATGCATTTGAAAGTAATGCTTTACCCTAATACTGGATATGCTTTTTTGTTTTGACCGAAACTACTCATTTTAACAAATTACTTCTCTCAATGAAGTAATCTGACAACAGTTACTTTGCAAAGTCACAATTTATTCCTGTATTGCTATCAACAACGATCACAATAAGGTCAAAGAAAGCTACACTAACAGCTACTTAGCATTCAATATCAAGTGGCAGTGGCGTTAACGGCTACTTCAGTGCATCATGAAATGACATCTGACAACACTTGAAAAGAAAACATCACTGCTTTAGATGTACTTTCAATTTAGCATTGGCGTAACTGGTTGTCAATCCCATGTTAAGCGGGTCGTCGGCATTTGTTGAATATAACTACCGGTAATAAAGTCATTTGTCTTTTAAAATCGAGTAATCAGTAACTTGTTATTTTTAAAATCATCAGTAAAGTAACTAAGTTACTTTTTGAAGGTAACAGTAGCAAGTGCTCATTAAAATTGATTGAGCATTAATTTTTACCTGTTAATAGTAAAAGTGGTTCACTTTTTGGGGCACTTTTCACGAATGTTAAGTAGAAAATAACACAAAATTCATTACATATTTGCCAAGTACACGTAATTGTTTTATTGTTTTGATATTAACAGTGCGTAATTAGTTTTTCATACTTTTCCAAAATGGATTGATGGATGAAAATCTTGGGCCTTGGGTGGACTGGTTCGCATATTTGCTTCACAGCTCTTAAATTGGGGGTTTGAATACTCAACTCAAGTATGGATAGCTGTTACTTCCCTCCAGATTAAGCAACAAAAAGACATGTTGTTTCCTTTAAAAAAAATAAAAAATCCTTACTGAGGGTTACCACTAAATCACGTGAGCCCGGAAGATGTTCTCTCATGATGGCCCAGTGGTGGCGATGCATGACAGCACCACTTGACAGGGCTCCGCCTATGGATGACAGATGAGAGTGCATGTGCTGTGTGTGTGGGGCCATGATTATGAAGATTCACGGGAGAGCAGCCACACACTCACACACACACACACACACACGCACACACACACGCACACACACACACACACACACACACACACACACACACACACACACACACAATATCAGCTTGCACCAACGGCTTAAAGACATAGCAGGGTAGGCACACCAAACATATCGTCTCATCTATTTGACACAGTAATTACAGCACATGCTGATTCCAATGATGGATGAACTCCCAGTCGGGGGATGAGCATTCTCTTCTCCTCCCTTCTCTTCATCCTCGGATAAGCTCTTTGCATTCAAAAGCGTGCCTCAAGAAAGATAATCATGCTCACTTTTGATAGACACCATGACAGTATCAGATATACTCCCGCCTGCGTGTAATTTAAAACAAATGGAACAATTAGGGGATTGTGATGCCCTTGCATGCGGGCAAGGAGAGCCACAGCCACCGATGCACTTTCAGCTGTTTATTGGACGTGACAAACAATAAAATACACAATGAGGGCACTCACAAGAATGTGGGCCACAACGCACACATTCGAGTCCAGGTCCTGATGTAATTCACTAGGCCACGCCTCTTAAAGCCAATCATCCAACACATAAATACTACATTCTCCTTTGTAATGTAACACATCGAGGTCAGCAAGGTAGCAAGTCAAAGTTAAAAGCTAAGCAGAGCTGCGTTGAATTTTGTTAGATGCGCAGTTTAGTGTTAGCTTTCAACATTAGCAACTGTTTGATTGCTCTGTGAAGTTGCTGACATGATGGCAGTGATCCATGTGCCATATAAACACAGAGTAGTGTAAGAACTTCTGCTTCTCCAAGTAATATCTTTTAATTGTCTTTACAGCACTAGCATTTTGTTTCCCATGACTCGTTTCCACAGGCAATGTTTAACCCTTTCATGCACCCTGTAACCCAATAACATGATAAGCTGTCCACTGTCGTAACCACTGTCCCTGAAAGGGTTGATTTGGGCAAAAAAGCTTGCGGCAACACTTTAAATGGTTGGCGGTATTTTGTATAAAAAAGAACTTTTTTTTTCTTGTCAATACAAACTTATATTACAAGAAAATTTAAACAAATAAATATGTCAACAAAGTGCATTCCAAATGTTATTATGTCAGTGACATTGCCAACTCGTGGCCTAGCAAGCATAACACAGCAGTGTCCCTTGCTTTTGCAGATCCATGTGAATGTAGATAGTACGTCCTTGTAGAACAGGGGTGCCAAACCCATTTTCGTCGTGGGCCACATTTTATTTACTGTTTCCCTTGGAGGGCCATTATGATTGAAATCATATAAGGAAGTGAAGAATGACGTTGAAGTTACTCTAATGAGGATTTCAGCAACAAGAAAATGCTTACCATATCTCTCTTATTTATTACATATGAGAGTTGCCATGTTTGATTTGCTTTCGCAGAAAATGATGTGGCGGGCCAGATCTGGCACCGGCCTTGACTTTGACACCGGTGTTGTAGAACCTCCTCCATATTAAAATACATTTCAGTGGATTATGACATTATCCTCCATTGCCGCAACACATTTCAGTTCGATTCGAGGGGGCTGGGGGGGGGGGGGGGGGGGGGGGCACGCGGACGGACCCTCATTCTACTTCCCCCCTCGTGGGATAATGAAAAAGACATCAGCAGGCAACGAGAAGGTTTCCCGCAACATTTGCCGTGACCTTGCAGTCTCCCGCTTCTCCATCTGACAAGTTTTGATGCGTCAGGGGTGGCTGCTTCCTGAGCGATGAAGATGCTGCCCCCCCCAGTACCTCCCCCGGGTGGATCTTTGTCGCAGCATTGCTTCGCTAGTCGCCCAGGGCGACAAGGCTCCTTTCACCCTTTATTGCGCTTGCTGCTTTGGCCCCACTAATGAAGTTATGACCATATTTTATTGTATTTATCATTGTTACATCTTTGGCCTGTACTTTACATTCATCTATTTTTTTGTAAGCACTTATCCTGATCCAAAATTGTTTTGCAGACCCTCAAGTTACGGTTCAAGCAGCCCCTGGGCTCACTGACCCCAGGTTGAGACCACTACACGACAAGATATTCAACCCTTCCTCAGGAACTCCAGATGAATACGGCCTCACAAAAAAAAGATCATGTATGTCGACATGTGGCAAGAGTCGGTAGATGCTCGCGATTTTTGTTAGCAACAGAGTTAAAATGTGGCTGTGTTGGTGTAAAAGGACCTTTGGTATTCATCGAGCACACAATGGTGTCGGTGCCGCCCTCGTCGAGCCGCGGCCTGTTTCCGTTCGGACATATCAAGCCCT